GGTTAGCCCTTATTACCATTCTAACAGCTAAGGCGAAGCGCCCATCGACCTGAGTGACATTGACTTGGCCACACCCACACAATCACATGACCACCGAGCCCCGCCTACCCAGCTGGTCATTAGGGCAGAGAACCGGTTGGTAAATTATTTGAATCCCACCACTGGGTGTGACAGAATGCAGGACTCCACAGCCTTCTCCAGTAGGATTCTTCCAGATGGGTACCAGGTTACCCATCTTGAATGGGAAGATGAAGTGGAGCATTTATTGAGACACTGGTAAAGGGGAAATTTGTGAGAAGAGAATCTGTGGACTGAAAAGATCTATAGCCCCCCATCCTGCCTTTTCCAACATAAAGGGGGAAAAAACCGAATGCCCAACTGCAACGTAATTCAGCTGGTCATAAATAAAAGAGGAGAGCAATGCAACGCAGAGCCCAAAAGAAATCCTGAATGCATGGCTTCAAGGACCTTAATCGTGGCAACAGTTGCTGCTATAGCTACTGCAAATATCTCAAAACGAGTAGAAATATGTACACACCATATTAGGGGGTCTCAGCAAAGTGCTTCGATGGTTACCAGAAAATAGTAGCCCTTGTAATGTATTCCAACATTCTCTGCTCCCTCAGAATAGAAGGGAATGGGAATAAAATGGGAGAGGCTTCAGTTCCGCCACAGGGGTCCACGTAGAGGCTGCAACCTAGCCTTATAAGTTAAAAACAGTCAAATGTGCAAAATATACAGACAGTTTCCATAGGTACAGAGACAAGTAAAGTGGGTCTGGGCTAAAATGCAAATACCAGGGGCTCCAGCACCCCTATAAGGTTCTAGGAGGAATGGAAGCGGGGAGAGTCGAAAGGAATTCATCATTGCAAGTAGAAATGCTAAACAAAGAGTGGAGAATCTATTGGCCAAAGTCCTCGGAAATTCAGACATTCCCGTTTCTGAACATCTGCAGAAGAAAATCGGTGGACTCCAGGGAATAATCACAGATATCCTAGTGCCGTCAAAATGAATTGTCTCTGAATGTATTTCCTCCCGTATTGAAAACTGCTAACAGGAGTTGTTAGGGCTATTTATCAAAAGTCAACCCATTGACATCTGCCAATCATGGCTCATTTTCCGCTAAATTGTGACGTGGCTGTTAACATGTCACGGTTCTCGTGTTCAGTTGTCGGGGACAAGATGCGTATGCAGGAGCAGGAGGTGGCTCAGGAACACGTCTGTTTGACACCATCTCTGCAAATTCCAGAATGTGGGCAAGACAAAAAAAAATTGCCTCCAAGAGGTCACTTTCCCCCCCACCCCCACAACCAAGGCCTTCGCAGGATAAACTTGGTTGTTAGTGAGCAAGTTGGCTCTTGTTCATGGAGAAGTTTGTACTTTTGACCAAGGTGGCCCAGACCCAATCATTTCAAACACCCTCTTAGCTCTCACAGCAATTACCGTAGGATACTCCCACCTTTGCTGCCCTTCCAACACCCTTCTTGTGAGCTAGGTGCCCTGCACTTTGGTGACACAGGGTCCTCCTTCATCTAGATGTTACTCCCAGAGCCTGCTTCATGTTCTCATAGACGACGTAGCTGATGCTCACGGCAGGAATAACCTTCATGAAATTGGGGGCGATGCCACGGTAGAGACCCAGGACCCCTTCCCGGGAAAGGATGTTCCTAAAGAGACCCAGCATGGTTAGCTGTGGTGCACCTTCGATGGATGCTGCAGTGAGAGTGTGAAAAAAAAGAGAGGAAAGATTAGTAGGACGCCTGGCACAACATACCCGATAAACCAGTTCAGACACTCTTGTTTGAATAGGATCACAGGTCCTACATGGCTCAGACTCAAACCCATGGGACAAAGCCTGAAAGTGCAGAAACCGAGAAGGACAGACAGATCAAGGCTTGAAGTATTGCATGCCAGAATTCGAACAGGACCTAAAGATAATCTCATAGAATTGGGACAGAACCTAGTAACTACGTCTAGATTCTCAGAGTCAATGCTCATTGTTTGTATAATAAATTATAAAACCTGAAACAACGAAGAAAACAACCTGATTTCTATTAGTTCTAGCTCCTCATGTTGAAAACTGATGCTTCCTTTTTCCTGGAGGAACAGACAACCATAAACATACATGTCAGATTTGGAGACCTGTTAATTTTAACCTGACTGAGCCCCAGGATGAAAATTTTATTTACTTTTCCTACCCCATTTTCCTTCTCATATTCTTTCCCACTAATCTCCCCTATGTCTACTCCTCTGTTACTAAGATTGCATGCTTAATTATCTTCCCTGTTATGATTAAGGTAAAGGTTCCCCGTGCACATATGGGCTAGTCGTTCCTGACTCTAGAGGGCGGTGCTCATCTCCGTTTCAAAGCCAAAAGAGCCAGCGCTGTCCGAAGACGTCTCCGTGGTCATGTGGCTGGCACGACTAAATGTCGAGGGTGCATGGCATGCTGTTTTCCTCCCACCAAAGGTGGTTCCTATTTTTCTACTTGCATTTTTACATGCTTTCGAACTGCTATGTTGGTGGAAGCTGGAACAAGTAACAGGAGCTCACTCCGTTACATAGCAATAGGGATTCGAACTGCCGGCCTTTCTGATCGACAAGCTCAGCATCTTAGTCACTGAGCCACCATGTCCCTCCTGTTATGGTTATCCCACCTATAATGGCTGTCAACCTTCCCCATTGAGGATGCTCCTTTCTTACCTTGTGCCTGCATCCGGGTGCGCACCAGGGCTAGGGGATAGCTGGCAATTTGGCCACAAGTACTGGAGACGGTGCCACAGGCCAAGAGGACCAAAACTCCTGGGTCAGCGGTGTTCTTGCTGTACTTCTGTAACCAGGTGTTCTTCAGTGTCTTTGTTGAGAAATGGGAGTAAGGGCATAAGGTGATCTGGGCATCAAAAGCTGAGCACAAATAAATTGCAGAAAAGGGAGGGAAGCCAAATAGGAACCCCCTTTTACCCGTGAGTAAGCACTCTTCTAAGTATGAATAACGAATCCTCGAAAAGTGTTCTAAAGAAAGAGCGTGTCAGCCTAGCCTCTTCCTTGGATAACTCCCTTATTCTTTGAACCCAACACCAGAGGTGGGTTCCTACCGGTTTGATAGAACCGGTTCGTCAAATCTCCCGAACCGGTTAGAAGAGGTTCCACCAGTGGACCCAGAAAGCAGGCCACACCTACAGAAGGGGTTCCAAAATTTTTTGAAACCCACCACTGACCCACACCCAGCCACTGACCTCATAAACAGCCAGATCGATACCAGCATAGGGGATAATGCCCAAAATATTTGGTAGGTAGCCCTTGTAAAAGGCAGGGATTCCTTCCTTCCGTAGGATCTGCCTGGCACAGTGTGCCACACCTGAGTACTGGCCTGTCTTGCCGAGGGCCAATCGCGTCTTCATAACCTAGTGGGAAGAAAAAATTAATGAATCAGATGTGAAACCAGAAAACAGTCTCGGTACCTGCAATCTGTTTCTTCCAATTTTACATCTTCCTTGCAGCTACTTTCAAGAGTCTTCTGCAAGTGGTTAGTTCAAAAATGTAGCATACATTTTCTTTTCCCTGGTGGTTTGTAGGATGTCAATTAAAAAAATAGATTGGCCCAGACCATTTTGGTTATGATCCATCTCATGCTACTCTCGGTGAATGGGGTTCCCCACCGCTGCAAAAAAGAAATTGCTTTTCCAGTTGTCAATCCAATTGTCTCTACCTAAACTGACAGTGTTTTTCTATTGTTTTGTTTCGTCCCTCAGATCATGTACTTAAAAATTTCTAATTAGGAAAAAAAAAATTAAGCAATCTATTCGATCTGCAATTGGTGGTACAAATTCTTTACTAGGCTAACATCTGAAATTGATAATGAATTGGAGGAGGATGCCCTTTCAGATCGATAGGGTTGCCGTGATAGGCATTCTGAATTCCTGTGAAAATGTGGAATAACCTAGCTCTGTTGGGACTCATGATCTCCATTAAAAATCCATTTTTCAATCAGGAATACTTTAGGATACTGGATGCCTTTTGCATACTCAGGCTGTGGTGATGACCAAGATTACATATTATCAACTTTAGGTACTAACTTAGCTACTTTCAGCGGGGAAAAATGGAATTGGAACACAGGTCCTAAACTCCTATATCAATTACTGCATTGGCTGCCTCTGATAGTTATTTGGAAAACAATGATTAATCTAACCTTATGGCAGCCAAGTTAATTGCAGAACACATATAAGCATTTTAGGAGTTTTGTTGATTAAAGATATATGTTTAAGCTATATTCAAGATGCCATTTTGATGATAGCATCTGAGTGTTGGAATCAGATGTCTAACAGTGCAACATCCGTGGCTTTTTAAATAGTGTATGTTTCGTGCTTCTTTTACTTAAACGCTAGATATGATTTTATGTTACTTATTTTACTGTTTCTATTTTATTGGTGTTTCTATTTATTTGTGTTATCGGTATTGTAACTGTTATCATGTCTTGGAAATCACAATGACCAAAAGCAGATTAAAAATAATCTAAATATGTACAAATCAACAAAAATTGGATTTTGGTCTGCTAATGCTGCTTCCTGGATAGCATTTAGCTAATATCCTGGATAAATTGGAAAGGAAGATTCATGACATATATCTCTGGTATTGGTATTAAGATCACTCTATGTCCCTCTCCTTCCCAAACATGGAACCAAGATAGAAAGCAGACGCCTTCTGAACTTATTATTCGGGCAGAATTATCAATTCTGCCCGAATTTCCCCTTGAATGTAAGGATGTGTTGAGAAGGAACAGCTCTGACATATCCATTCTTGCAGCGCTCAACTTTCTCCTTACCGACATTCTCTTTATGTAAACTACAAGTACAATTGAAAAATCTTATCTCAAATTGGCATTCTGGCCATGTATATATATATATATATATATATATATANCTGCGCGCTTCTCAAGCACGGGGGGTGGGGAGTGACGTGGGGGGGGGGGGGGGGCAGAAAAGTCTCGCTATCACTGGCAGGCAGATCACTCCTGCGTTGCTTGTCTTCTCGCCCGCGTAGGATCAAACTGGCTCCTCCTTTTTCTTGAACATGCAAGTACCTCGGAGCTATTGGCTTTGTCTCTCCAGCACTGCGAGTTCCGCAGCTGCTGTCTTGTGGGGGGGGGGACGACGAGGGGAGGGCGGGAGGGAGGTGGAGCTGGTTAGAAGCGACAGAATGGATGGTACTAGTTTCAAAGTGCAGCCTAGTAGTTGATATGTACGGATAATGGTACAATCTTCCTTTAATTCTCTTTCAAGATCGGTCAATAGAAAACACATTACTGTACTTTCCTAGGTCCACCTGAAGTAGGATTTGGTGTTTGTATTCACGGTTTCTAATTTTAAAAGTATTATAACATGCACTGATTAAAAATAGGCGTGCCTGTTTTGTCCAAATCTCTGAAAATACTACTGTTCCATATAGATAGGCTGATAATGTATTCCATGTGTACTTAATGTCATGCGAAATTCAACTGGCTTGCTTTCAGGAAATTTTATATTCCTTCATTTGTTACGTTGTAAAATCTAGAACTTCTAGGGAGTGACACATTTCAAACAGTTGAAACGTACTTAGCCTCCCTTTGAAACGCCTAAGATCAATGTCCACAAATAAGTTATATAATGCAAAAGGGTTAGGTAATATGCTTCCAATTTCTACCACATTTGTTTCATGTAAAGGTACATATTTGTACAAATGTAGATGTTATATCCGCTAATCACTACTCTCTAAAACAGCCCTTCTTTCTTTCCATGAATGATATAACTAATTTTTATGTCTTCTATGTCAGAATGTGAACCTAATTTTGTAGGTCTGTGTGGAACACTGTTTCCTTTTTCCTAGGTGGCACTTGTGGATCTGAATGCAGATACAGGCAAAGTCAGCAAAGATGCCTTTGATAAGCAGTATGATCCACAGAGGACTATCTTCATTCCTTGTGATGTTTCAAATGAAGAAAAACTTAAAGGTTAGAAGTTTTTAAATGCCCTATTTTAAATGTCATGCAGCTGAAATAATAACAAGTATATCTCCATTTAGATATGTGTTGTTACTTCAGTATGCAAGTACAGTCTGCTACCTTAATAAGCCTGGGAAAAATGCCGAAATCTCCTGCCATTTATTATACATGGAAAACTTATTTATGATAAATAATTTTTGCTAAAAGGACCAAACTTTATATACAAAAGAGCCGAGGTGGCGCAGTGGCTAGGGGTGCAGCACTGCAGGACATTTCAGCTGACTGTTATCTGCAGTTCAGCGGTTCTAATCTCACTGGCTCAAGGTTGACTCAGCC